TTATTGATAAACGGAAGCGAGTTTCCCCTGCTGAGTGATTTCACCTATTTTAGTGCAAGATCACACTTCAGTCAGAACAGACGGCAGGTTGCACAGCTGAGCACGAAACCGCTGTCTGCAGCTCTCTGCCGCAGTGCTCTATACTTGGCAGAGTCTGGGCGGTTTTGGAATGAGGACCTTGGAAATGAGGAAAGGCACTCCTGCCGCACGGGGCGCGCTCACAGTGCCCCTCGGGCTGGCCCCCACGCTTAGCTGCCTTGGTCAACCGGCCGCCTGCCGCGGCTTGCCCCAGGCTCCACCACCGCACTCCAAAGTGTCCAGGGACGCGCAGGCATTCACGCTCTCGTTTAACTTGCGAGCGCCTTTCTATTAACCGGCTCCGCAGTCTGCACTTTCCTCTTCATTACGCAACCGACGGTTCTTCCAGGTGAAACCAGCTTTCTCCCACCCCGCAGTCGCTCTCACATTTGTTGCTTTTGTCTCATCCGTCTGGCAAGGCTCACTGAGGGTAAAATCTACCCTGTCCTTTCACTGGCCTTAGGTTTCCCGGCTGGGGAAACCACAGATGGCGGAAAGGCAGATTAATGTCCCTGTTCATTGTCGCAAAGCCCAAAGAGCCCCTGGAGGTGCCCAACATGTCTCCTCTTATCTGCATCTCACATGTTTGCTGAGAAATTTACAAACATATGAAAAAAATCTCCTTTAATCTCTTCATATGAAACCTAACATCTGCTTACTTACACACTAGCCACCTTTTGATTTTTATTATTTATTTATTTATCTGGTACAGCATCTCAGACTCATAGTGATCCTTCTGTCTCAGCCTCCTCAGTGCTGGGATTATAGGCATGCACCACCTCACCCAGTTTCAGTGGCTGGCATGACATGCGGTACCGGGGACCGAACCCAGGTCCTTGTGCTTTTGCCAGGCAGGCCCTTAGACTGCCAAGCTATCTCCCTGGCCCCTCCTTTTCTGCTTGATTTCATAACTTGAGTTGCACCTTGACAAGAAGAGGTACAAACATGCATTTACACCTGGGCTGGAAATCTTAATAAACTCAAGACATCAAAATCAATATTTTGTATATTTATTAATAAGGCTGAGACAACAGCCTTTATATAGCACGATTTATATAAGTTATCAAGATACATCTTGTATACACTCACAAAACCAAGACATGTTTTTTACATAGAGTAAAACTCAAGACAGATTTACAAGCAATTTTATACAATTCTCATATATTTCCAGACAATTTATACAACCTTTAATCCAAGGATTTGCATTAGATTGGATCATTAGATTTTCCAGGGAGATTGGGCGAAGAAAAGAAAGCAGAAAGGAAAAAACACAGTAGCAAGTCACCAACATGGCATGCAACATCTAGTCAGAAACAAGACACATTTCCAAGTACTGTATTTTTATTTTGAAATCAATTTTATTAGGTCTTTCTTTTGTTCAGACAAGAACTTTAACATCGGCGTGTTGTTGGGGGTGTAGCACACACGGATCAGTACTGGGCACGCTTGAGCGCCTCACTGAGATACAGAGACACAGTCAAATAATAATCACATTCACATGCTGGATGCCAAATGAAATGAGTATTTCAACTTTGTCTATTTTACCAAATGTATCATTATGTACAGCATAACGAGTTAAGAAAGCCCTCACTTAATCTACCTACCAGCGAAGGAACTTTATTAAATGAGTTGGACCTAATGGGAACCTTTAATCATAAGGACATGGGACACAAGAAGACATCAGTGGGTCCCATTCGGTGAAAGTATCTTTTCACTCATCACCCAAGGCAGGTAGTTCTGAAACAAGCCATTCATAGCTGGTCAGTGAGCTTTCTTGCACTTTCACTTTAAGTTCAACTAGAGGGAAACACTTCTGTCACACATAGTTATAAACACTTAGAGCTATAGTTGGCTGATTTTGGAATATTTGACATTATAGCAATGAAAATAAGTTTTTAAAAATATTGTTAGTTATGATTTAAATAATAAAGTAAAAAAATACTATCAACATCTTTATGATATCTTAATGAAATGAATCATTGAGCAAATAATTTCTAATAAACTGGGCACCATATAATATCATTTTTTTACCTCACACCACTGAACACTGCTAGTGTCACCACAGCTACCACCACGCTCATCCTAACCATTCTTAAATAAAAGTCATTATCAGCTGGTTACCAGCTATAATTTTCCCACAAGATGACTATTTAAATGTGTACAACCCACAAAATAAGTCTCACCAATATGCTGAAAATATGCATTTAATTAGTATGATTCATTAAAATATGGACACTATTAAGAAGCAAAGTCATGTGCTTCCCCTTCATCTCAGAGACTGTTCTTTTAAACTGAAATGGCAAATAAATAATGCAATGTCCCAATAATTTCCTTAATATTAAGCAAAAACAGGGAAAACACCTTTGTGTTGATATTGTGGTTATTTGTCTATATTGATGTGTGTTGTTCCCCTTTCTTGCAAAATTTCATTCTGTGCTTTTTCTTCTGAAGCTGAAAGTTTCTTCACTACGAAAGTTTAAACCAACAGGACTCTTCAGTCTTTGATGATGCAATGAATTTGTGAGAAGACTGAGATGTTTTTAAAGGTGCAGTCACTGGATTAATTACGTATGAATTAGAGATTACAAACTGTCACCCTCAGGATAAAAAAAGAAAATTCCATTGAAACAAAATAAAATAAAAGTGGAAAATCGGGTGCTGTGTTATATACAAAAAAAGTAAAAAACACCAAGAGCCCTGTTTGCAATTAAAAAAGAAACCGTTTTGCTATAAGTAGGGTAATCCACTTCATGCACAGGAAATGCATTCCCTGAAGGACTGGTGTTGCATAGAACAATTCCAGCACAGCCTTGGAGCCCCCGGCTGCCAGCGGGCACAGGGCAGGGTCTCACACTCCCGCAGGCAGGCTGGCGTGCGACAGGAGCCCTGTCCCATCTCTCTGGTGGGCCCAGCTCACCACTGCCTTAGAACAGAGGGTGCCGGCAGGGCGAGGCTCCAACCCCTTCACGTTCAGTAGCTACCAAGGGAAGATGCTGGCTTGCAGCCCCTCCAGTGGGTCATTCTAAGGGGGGCTGTGGCTGCCCAGGAGAAAGCCGAGCATCCACCCAGCTCTCACATTGCGGACGAGGCCTGAAGAGGCATCAAGGCTCACGTGTACAACGTGGAGCCGAGCCTCTCCATGCAGAGGGAAGGCTTCAGACTCTTACTCCGCTGATATGACCGATGATTACACTTCCTCTAGTGCTAGCATGTCCTGGAAATATTCATGGCAACCGTCAATGGATCTAGTAATGTCTAAACTTAAAACTGTACAATCCCCTGTTTTGCCTGCTGCTGCTCTGTGGTGCCCAGGGGCACCAACACGGAGGTGTCAGGGGAGGGTGAGCCGCAGGCAGCCAGGGGGGAGCTGGGTGCAGGGGGCATCTTATTTCCTTAATGAGTAGTAGCTGTGGTATTTGAGAAATTCTTTAATTTTAGTGCTTTACATCTCTCTCAAAGTTAAAGTATTTTTCTTACTTAATTTTCTTCAAAATTGAGAAAATGTAATATACAACCAATATTTTGGAGTTGCTTCTTCTTAATCCCACTAAGACCTCACTTAGAATAATTTTAAACAATGAAAGTTTTCTTTCTTAGTTTACTGATTTTTATCCACACCAATGCTCACCACTGGCTTGGAGGATGATATTACGTATAAAATTGAGAATTAAAAAGCTACATAATTATTAATGCCTCATTTCTGTGTATAAAACTATATTTGGAAATGTGCTTTCACATTTTATAGTTCTCTTGATTTAAACATCCCCACGTCCCATGAGGAGGGCTAGGAATGTAATGTTGTTTTCATCCTACGATTAAGAAAACTAAAGGGACATGGTGTAAGCGACACTTGCAATGCCGGTAGCACAATCGGTACCAGAAGTGGGGACGTTCGAGCCCAGCAAGCATGTGCTCCACAGTTCCATGGTATTCCTGTGAGTCCTGGCGGGGGTGGGGAAGAGGACTCTTCTTAATGACTTAGACATGGGCTGTTTCTTTGTATATTATTAAACTAGTTCAAAGAGTATTTGAATCTCAAACGCTGACATGGTACATATTTTCCCAACATAGATGATCACTGTGATGTTGTCACTTAGGGAGGGGCACAGAGCACTGCCGGAAACTGTAATCCGGAGTCAGAGTTTCTGTTACACAGTCGGTTAATGGGTGCAGGGTAAAAACACGGAAAAGCGGAAAATGACACCAATTTGATTTCACAAGATTAATATGCTCTGCTTGCCAGAGAAAGTATTTTTCCTTTCTGACAATACATTACTCAAGAGAAAAGAAAAATGCAGATTACACGTTTATTCGCAATTCCACAAAGAACAGGTGATCATGCTTCCTAGAACATACCAATTTAATCCAGGTCCTTCGGTGTGCGGATTGAAAATGCCTCCGCTTAATGGAAAGCTGTGGAGACTTGGACATTTTCAATCAAATTTCCAGTATCAAGTGAGTCAACAGTCCTTATTTGCCAGACGTGGTTTTACTTCTAGATAAATAATTTTATTTTTACCTAGTATTATCTTTACTCTACACTATTAAAAACTATACTGAGACAAATGTGCTTTTGCCGCGGATTGCACCGTGGGCGCTGCGTCCCCAGCGCGTTAGACACGGAGCAAACCTGCGCCGCGGGCGGCCCGCGAGCACCCGGCGTCCTCCAGTCCTGCACGCGTCGCGGGCGCGTCCTGGGTCAGATCTCAAAACGTCACTTGTCTGAGAACACAAGGGGAAGAACTTTTCGACTTCTGAGACCTGAGTTTGTTACATCGATTCTTCCAGCCACGCCTTCTCGCGTGGGCGCTCCTTGCGCGCTGCATCCGAGACACGCTCGCCGCGGCGCCCCAAATCTGCTAGAAGACTCACCTGGGCCGTAAGAACCCCAGATTTCCCTCCCACCGCCTCAAAAGCCAAGGTCTCGGAGCTCGGCGGCGTTGGTTCGTTTTCTGCCCATTCGCGTCTCTGCTGGTTCCCGCGGCAGAGAGTTCACCGGGTTGCAACAGCCTTGCTGCCCTGGCTCGCCCTGAGGACAGCTGGCGCATCAGCGTCCCGCTCGCCCGCCCGCCCGCCCGCGTCGATCGAGGCGACTCCTCCGCGCCCGTCGCTGAGCACGCGCAGGCCCTAGTGCGTCTGGGTGGGGCTGACCAGGAGTTTGTGCCAGTTGACAATTCTTTTTCTGAGATCCACTTTGTCGAGCCAGATACAGGCTTCACCGATCAAGGTCTTTTTCATAAACTTCCCTCCATTGGAGAAAAGCAAAATCTAGAAAAAAAGAGCCCACACTTTATATATCTTTCTTTTTCTTTTTTCAAAAAATGAGAATAAAATATAATGAAGAAATCATTAGAATGATACAGAATTTCACTAAACAAGATGATAGAAATTTAGCAATGCTGTTATATTGCGTATGGTTGTCTTCAAATTAGTTGTTCAGATTACTAGATATAAGCATTAAAATGGGCGGAATAAGAAAACAAATTTAAACAGTAACTGTTCCTTTCAATAGACCAGGAGTAAGGGGCAGTGTGTGAACACGCACATCCACACACCTAGGTCGTTTTTCCACTGGTTCACAGACTCTGAGTCATCCAAGAAATAGTGCAGACAAGAGAGGACAGGTACTTTGGTTGTTTGCAAGAAAATTAATAACCAAGACTTTCTCAGAAGATTTCCACAATGTAAATTAATTCATATCAACATTTTAAAATTGTTCCCCGAAGGAAAAGACAGACACTGAAGGACTGAGAAACCTAGGCAAGAAACAGCTAACCAGCTAATTCTGGTCAGATGAATGCTGAAGATTATGGGAAGCATCACAAAATAATCTTGCTGGATACATTTTTATTAGTTTATTGAATATCAAATCAAGTAAAAAATTATTTGAATGCTGAATAAATAGGTAGGACTTCATTTCTACTTAGCACATGCTGATTTTCATTACAGTATACAACTTGCAACATCATTCCTTAAGTCATTTATAGAAATAATGTTAGTCTATGCATCTGACACTGCAGAGATGGGTTTTTCTTTAAGTTGTTGAAAGAAATGTGGAGAATCTTGAGTCAATCTATTAATCTTTGGTAACTTCTATATCCCCCCCTCTTCTCTTTAGAAATGCATTCAGAAAGTTCAGTGTATAAGGGGTTGTTTTGTGTTGTTTCCTTTGCTAAGTATTTATTTTTTTCTAGGTATGGTGGTGCATACCTGTACTCCCAGGACTCGGGAGGCTGAGGCAGGAGGAGCGCAAGTTCATGACCAGCCTGACTTCTGGATATGACCTCTCTTCTGGTTTTGGGTTTTAAGATTTAAAGTGACCTGAATTATCACTTGAATTATTATCTTGTCAAATGCTTTTCCACAGCTTCCTCCCACGTAGCTCCCCTTGAGGACTGATTCTGACCCTTTGGCACACTGACTTCAGAGCTTCTCCTTTGAGTCTGCTCTCTGCGGGGCCTGGTTAAGCACCTCTGTAAGGCAAGCGCGTGTCCTAAGCGCAAGACTCTGTGCACCCAGACAACAGGTCTCCTCCTGCCTGTGCTGCTCTCCCCATCCACCTGTGTTTCTCCTGTCGCCCTTGTTCCGTGTGTCTCCTTAGGACACTGTGTGTGCAGAGGACAGAGCACCCAGAGCAAGGCCTTGTGTAGAGGGAGTGACAGAGTGGGAGGCCAGGCCCGAGGCCTACAAGCTGCTGCACAAGCCAGCCTGGGGCTGGTAGGATGACAGGGTGCAGAATGGATCTGTGACCCACTGTGGTGAATTATAGCTAAGCTCCCAGGACATGACTGGCCTTGCTCTGACACATGCAGAGTGGGTCAGTGTGGTACCTGAGGAGAGAGACTTGGAGGGAGGGAGGGAGGGCCTGAGGGTGGAGGTCTGAGCTGGCCTGCAGGGAGTGGTGCAGCTACACAGTGGGTGAGTGGAAAGCGAGCTAAGAAGCTGAAACTAAATGGACTCACTCACAAATCACCATGCAGGACTCTGATTCCAGGTAGTGAGGGTCACTGAAGGGCTTTACTACAACCCCAACAGGGTTACAGTTTGACATGCCCAGCCCAGCAGTAGGGTGAGGTAATGAGCCAACAGGTCCCACAGTGATGGGCAGCTGGCCAGGAAACCATGGGCACAGGGCATGATAGAGCCGGGGCCAGCAAAGGCAAGGGGCAGGCAGAGAGCAGTGCAGTTGCTGCTGTCCAGGGTGGGCTGAGACGGAGCGCCGACACACATTTCAGAGAGTATCTTCTCTGATGCCACAGGTACATGATTAGCACATGAATGCTACACAAGTGAGTGGCAAGTATATAAATGCAATGTCAGTGCGAAGTGAGGCAGTGCCTGGACAAGAGGGAGTTACCTGAAGTGAATGCCCCGCGGGACTCAGACTGAATCGGAAAGTCTCATTAAAGGAAGGTTCTCGATCATGCCTACACACTCTTGTCTTTTTCTTGATAACCTTCTTTTGGGTAGAGATGTTCATCACATATATTTTCACATACAAATCTGAAAATAACATTGCAGCCCATTAAGTTCCATAAACCTTATAATTTTTATTGCAACAATTAAAATTGCATGCCTGGAGTTCTTCTTATGGTTTATAGCAACACAGATTTCACGTACAATTTGTTTCAGGCAACATAAATGATTAAACATACACCACTTTTCTTAGTAATTTAACTTTCTTTCTTGTTTAATGAATGTATCACTAAACAATGTATTGGAAATTTTTCTTAGCTAAAAACTAAGAAAAATGATGATCTATATTGTAAAAATTAACTCTTCACATATTTCTGATGTATTTGCTGTACACATTAAATGTTGGTTTATGTTTCACATAATGTTTAAGACACCCAGTAACGGTTGATACATTGGGTCAACTTGAGAATTGAGAAAGTTAGAAACCTCACTAAGTGGCTCAGCAGGGTCCTCACTTTGTAAACACCCTCAGCCTGTGCAAGAGGAGGGCACAGAATGGCATCAGGCGCACAATGTAAGGGAGGAAAAGAGGAAAAGGCTCACTCTCCTTGTTCTGCTCTTGCTGCTTGTACTGTCTTCTGCCACCTTGAGCAGGTGCCCCTGTGCTGGGCCACACTGCCTTGGAGCCAGCTGATTAAGGACAGAAACCTCCACAAGCCGCGAGCTTAATAAACCCTTCCTTCCTTAATTTTTAGTGTCAGATATTTTGTTTGAGCAACAAGAGAAACATAACAAAGACAACCCCATTAATAAGATCCTGGATAATTTATATTCATTTTACATACAGTCAGGTACCTGGTAAGTGGTCAGGAGACTTAAACTTGTAGGTTATATTTCTGCATTGGAGAATTTCCACTATTAGTTGTTCACCATCTGTTTTCATTTCTTTCTTCAATGCAATCTTGATTTCTCCCATGACCTGAGTTTTAGCTGAAAGAATTTAATTAAAAATTTGAGAAATTTATAATTTTGTTTATTAAATGTTTACTTCAATCATCCATGCATGTTTTCACTTATTGAATATTTATCCAAGTCCCTAATTGCATCCTGTAGACACACAGACAAGTCAAAGTCCAAGCAAGAGTAGGCTCCTGGGGAGAGGGGTAAATTTCCAGACACAGTCAAATCTGTTCAGTGCAATGGTAGGCTAGTGACAGAGGAGATGTGTCACTCAGTGGTAGACTATTAGGCCAAAAGAAGTAATAGATGAGATGCTAGGAGGGACAGACAGTACAGTAATGAAATTTTAGCATAAGTCGTGGGAAGTAACAGTGCCATGAAACCCAGAAAGTTGGTGGCCAGGCCTCGTGCCTGCCTGGGCTTGCTGCAGCACACACCCACACAGCCCATGCCACTGTGTGTTAATTCCGCACCTTTGTCTTTTCATTTGTAAAAGAAATAGCTAGCAAGAATGCTCAGGAAGAAGCCTGCACAGGCCGGGGCAGTGAGTGATGTAGTGGGTTCCAAGCCTCCCTGGCAGCGCTCCACCTCATTCTCTGGAGTGGAAGAAGACAGCGATTCTAGGTCAAGCCCGATGTTGACCCACTTGGTCCTCCGTTGCTGCGTGTGCTTGTCCTGGACTCATTCACCGACACATATTTTATTTCCGATCTGACCCAGAGCCAAGCTCCCTGTTTCAGAGAAGGAATGCAGTGGCGGCCCAAACAGCAAGCTCCTTTGTGTCGTGGCTTACCATCCATAGGGAAGAAGGAGATTTCTGTCCGTAAATGCACGATCAGAAAGAAGGTAAGGGTTCGTCAGCACAAGAGCTTTGTTTTGAGAGACCAGAACCAAGGAGCCCTGCCTGGGAAGCACTGTTGAAACTGAAACCAGGAGAACGAGGGAGACTTGGTGAGGTCAGAAAGCAGGGAGGGCACTCTTCTGACAAAGGAGCAAAGCACTCACAAGCAGGAATTCACCTGGAACTTGAGGCCCTTGTGATTTCATGACAGTGTTCATTGAGGCCATGTTAATTGTGTGGTTTTTAATTTTGTAACATAGGACTTCATTGATAATCTCAAAACACAGCTGTTGATACTTCTCAAGCATTTTGGCCTCAGGAATTCTTTACACTCAAAAAAAAAAAAAATGGGAGGTCTTCCTAGAACTAGTATATAGATTATAGCTATCAACATTAGAAATTAAAAATTTCTAATTTTCAATTCAAATGTGGAATTGGAAAGTCAAAAATTTATTAACTCAATTAAAATTAAAATATTATACACATAAATGTTTTAATGAAAATATTCATATCATTTTTAATAAGTGAGAAGTGTAGAAGTTTCCTAAATGCTTTGCTTAGCAGAAGACAGATAGATCCTCACCCGCAATTAGCGGAACTGCATCAAATTCATCTCACATCAGCACATAGTTGCAAAAGAGAGGAGTCTCTTCTCATCCCTTCCAGACAGACCGCTGCATATACTATACCAATACTCAACACAAGGTAGGTTTCCAGAAGATCGTGGTAATAAGACATTTCAAACCAAATCAATGAGCTTTTATTGTTAGTTAATTAACATCTGGTACTAGGAATCAAACTCAGGACCATGTGCTTACCAGTCAGATGTTGTGCTGCTGAGTGACATCCAAACCCTATTTTTGCTATTATTTTAGAACCCATGAGTCCACGCTACACTGTGAATGGATCTTGTAACTGTGCCTGAGTTGATAGTAAACATATTCTTACATAAATATGCTATATGGAAAATGTGTAAGAGGTAGGAAAAAAGAAGTTAGACTTGAAACAATTACTTTGTGATATTTTCTAATACACTCGAAATGCAAAACAAATTTTGACATTTTAGATTGGCTAAAACTAACGTTATGCCATCTGTAAGAAACAGCAGCAAACAGTGCCAGTGAAAAATACAGAGATTGGTACACGTGTCCGACACGTGGTGTCCCCAGACACACAGCAGGTGAAGAAACCTTGTTATCAGACGAAGTACAGGTCGGTCAAAAGGCAACAAATAAGATGAAGAAACCTCTGGACAAAGCAAAGAAAATTACATAAAGGTAATTTACATAATAAAGGTAAATTATAATCTACATAATAAAGGTAAAATAATTATGCACACCGATACAAGGTGAAGCTGCAAAATAAGGAACAGGAAGAGATACAAGGAAGTTTGAAAAGAATGAGAACAGAAGACTTTAATGGACACTAGTGGGACAAGCCAGGCCGCACGGGTTAGCATCAGTAGGCCGTCAGGACACTACGGTCCATGAGGTAAGTCTAGATGTACACCAAACACTATGCCCTCATAGTGGGGGATGCATCTCTTTTCTCAATCAATATGGAATAATAGTTGCAAAAACGGTCATTATTATTACAAGGAAAACATCAATAAGAAAAAGACATATTACAACTGACTGGACACACACACACAACTCTTGGGTGAATAATGAAACTGAGAAAACACAGAAAAGTTCTGAAAAATGACGGTGGAGCGCCTGGGTCCCGGCAGCCGAGCTGGCTCTGCAGACTGCCCGAGGCCGGCCCGCCGCTCTCGCCCTGGCCGCCTTCTTCTGAGTCGCGGCCGCGCCCTTCACCCCCACCAGCGCTTGGCTGAGCCCCGGCCAACCGTCATCACCCAGGGAGACTGCCAGGGGGACCTGAGGCCAGGGGCGGGAGCCTTGGCGAGCCCCACCCTGTGCCCACCCACCATCCAGAGAGCCTTGCCGAGCTGCGGCCTGCGCTCGTCCTCGTCGGATCCTTCTTGAGCTGCGGCTTGCTCTGTCCCCCTCCACTCGAGGTGGAAGCCACATTGAACCCCACGCAGCGGGATCTTAGGTGCTCCTCCCCCACCCTCACATTCACCTGAGAGCCTCGTTCACCCACCCCTCCCCTCCGCTCGCTGCAGAGTTGGAGGAAAATATTAAAGCCTTCAAAACTGACAAAAGGAAGGCACAAAAGGCAATCTCAGACCACTAGCCCACCCACAACAAGTCCAGGAGACAGTCATAGAAGACCTTGGAAGTCACACACCTGAACTTTCTGAGATGACAGCAGATGAAGAAGCAACTCCATCATGCTATGGAGGAAATCAGCTCCGAAAACTATGATGATCAAAACCCCACACTTCAGAATCTAGAAATCTGAAGTGACAATCAGAGAAAAATCCATACCTAGAACTCTAGTTTCACTTGGAATGAAGAACTGAAGAAAATGTGCATGCACATTAGTGTTGCTTCAGTAAAGAGACTTTAAAAAATGATTTAGATGACAACCCCACATCTAGGCAACAAATAATAAATGCATGAAAGGATGCACAAGGAAATAACAAGATGACACGCTAGAAGGCAGAAAATCTTTGGACAGTAGCTACATTAATAAGTGGAAATTCTTTTTTTTTCTGTATTTTAGGGAAGGGTCTACAGGGTGCTCAGGGTTTCACTACTAGATTGGACTTGTAGTGATCTGCCTGTTTACAGCCTCCCAAGAGCTGAGATCACAGGCTTGCACCACCACGTCCAGCCTCAATTGCTGTTTCAGGGCACCCTGGGGGCGAGGCTGGCACTGCAGGCCTGGGGATCCAACCCCTGGTCCTTGTGCCTGCTTGCAGGCACTTTAATCTGCTGAGCTATTTGGCCAGCCCTACAAGTGGAAATTCTAAAACCTTGAAAAAATGAACAAATTTGAAAAATCCCTAGTGAGTTTAATCAGAAGCATGTGTCCTCCTAATTACTATGACAGCACATCTCGTCAGGGACTTGGTGCAGACAAACATACCCAGCACAGTGCTCTAAGGCTCATTGGATTGGATGATTTTGATGTACTGCAAGTCTCAGTACATTTACTTAGACGCGTGGATGAGAGCCCAGTTTCAGTCACTTCACCATTTGAAATAAGAATTGTCACGCTTATCCCAATCTACTCCTTCCCTTTTTAAGGATTCTGGCAGGAAAACAGAGCCCCCAAAATGAACACTGAAGCCAGCCTGATAGTTCAGCAAAGTAAAGCGCCTGCTTTAGCTGAGTGCAGTGGAGGGGGTTCAATCCTCGGCATGCCATGCCAGCTCCCCCCCCCCCGGGGCATGCTGAGACAGTGATTGAGACTGGGGCGCACCTCTAATCCCAGTGTTTGGGAGGCTGAAGACAAGAGAATCACTACGAGTCCAGTGTATGTAGTGAGACCCTGTAGACCCTGTAGACCCTACAGAGCCTGTAGAGCCTGTAGACCCTGCCCTAAATACAGAAAATAAAATCAAAATGAACATTGATAAAATGGGACACATCTTAGGATCCCCCTTCTTCAACCTCTAGAAAAATTAAGAGGAAAAAAGTAAAGGAAAAATTTAGGAAAATGTTAACCAATAGCAAGCTAACAAGGAATAAGCTATAGTTTCCTGGTGGAAATTGTAAAAACTCGCTCCGAGGACTGGGAAGACAAGATTCCAATAAGGCACAGCTTAGTGGCACTCCTGACTGTCCAGGGAAATAGGCCAGGAGAAGCAAGCAAGCTAAGTAAGCCCTGAAAATCACCTGCAACCTCCCCATCAATGAGAAATGAGCACGGCCTAGCCTAGAAGTCAAGCTGAATCTCTGCGACAGGGAGCCTCCACTCATGGTGACCTTCTCAGAGTCTCAGAAGAATCAGAAAGAAACCACTGGGGTCCCATTCCCAGCATTCCGACATAAAGTGTGTAAGTGCAGCACGAACTATCAAAGACACGCCCATGCTTTCTGGAGGGAACGCTGCCCAAGGACATCTGCCCAAGGCTCACGGAGGACCAGAACCTCGTCAGCCAAGTGGGCAAATCTACAGAGAACCTTATTTTCCCTCCACATCCCAGGAAGGCAGGTGGAGCTATGTGCTCATCTCTCCCACCATGTGTGGGATGGAGAGAAAAGGGCTCCTCACAGACAAGAAGGAAGGTGAGGCGAAGTCATTCACAGTATTTGATGCAGACAGAAATGGCAGACAA